AGGAGAGCCTCCTTCCACCCTGGAACTATGCAAAAACTAGAAGTAGAGCTGTAACACTGCTACTTAGAGTTGCTTTAGGCTTTGGTTTTAGCTTTAGAAGCACTGGTAATTGCGCCACTGGAGGTAGACGAAGGAAGCCCTCCTCCCCTCTCTCCCTCCCCCTCTCCTCGGATCCGCCTATGACTATATATAATTCTTACTACAATAATTTTCGTGTTTAATCAAAATCCTTCGAGGTAGCGCAACAAAAAACAATCGGACTGAATGGCAAAAAAGGTGTGCTAACCTGTCGTGTATCGATATCAATATGTGCTAGCCAAGCACGTAAATCCCGTTCTCTCATACCAACTGTAAGCTCAGCTTCTGGCGTGGAATATCGGGAGCAGTAGACGAGCAGCGCATCACCGGTATCCAGTAATGCCTTCATGAGCGGAGCATGCTGATCGAACATCAACGATAATGAAATTTTTATCGCACGCTGACGCTCATCCATGTACCAGCCCTGCAAAATTCACTCTTTAGTAGTTAACGGGTTGCAAAATTTTTCTATAAAGTCAGAAATTCCACTGTAAACTTACTTTCCATGGGAAATGAAGGCACTCAAAATTAGACTGAGTGATACTGCGTGTCAAAAGCAAGGCTATCAATGCCTTCCTCCTCTGGAGTTGCTTACAAGTAAGCTAATGGTAATTTTGTCGCCCACAAAATGCACTCGCTTTTGTGTTTTCGATAAAATTGAGTATTTCTCATGTTCTTGTGCAAAGAATTTAGCTTAAAAGCCATTTATTAGATCGAATATGAATGCAGAAAACTCTTGCAAAGTTATAGCTTCGCAGCTTGTCTAAAAAGGCCACTATGTTACAAATATCTTCGAAGTGCCCTAAGCTGTGACGCACGTGCAAATCGAAACAAGTTTTAGGTATACGACTTCCCATACGGACGATAAATCTACCACCGAAATGAATGAACGAATCGCAGAGAGACTGGTTATCCTAGGGCGAAAGTAAACTGTCGGCATCCATCATGACAACACCACTGCTTTCCCATGCTCGCGCATTTGAATTTATCAATGCAAAAACCAGTCTGCCTACGATTCCCTCCCATGATAAAGTGACTCCGAACAGTGAAATGCATGACGGCTTGCTTTTTAAGCACTCCTTTTTACCATGTGGCTGTTGCTGGCGAATCTCAAGCAATTTTCCTGTACTTCTTTTTTTCAGAAAGAACGCGAAACGTGAATTTCAGACTGTTTTTCAGCGCAGGAATTCCCCGTACCTGGATTTTGTCAAGTGTCGGCATGCTCGATTCAATCACAGTGTTCATTCGTTCCCAACATTCAATACTTTTCTCGGTTTCGTTTATATATGCTGCATCCGCTGCACATATGTTAAAATACCTTAAAAAAAAGCTTCAGCTCCAAACATAACTGAACATTTTTCGTCTTGCCCTAGCATAACTCAAACAACACCAGTGCACATTTGCAAAACGTGCCCATTCAAAAAAAA